ATAAACATTGCTAGTCTAGATCCACAGACTTCTAGTGGCTCAAAGATTGTATGGTGGGCCCATATTTTTTTTTCTAACTATGAGGCTGCCGCTGATTGGCTCTGGGTTAAATTGAGATTTAGGTTCAAATACCCTTGGAAAGAGTTTGAGGTTCTGTGCTTAATGAGAGCCAAACAGTTGGCCAAACATGAGAGAAACAGTTTAGCAGTGAAAGTTTGGTATTTGGTAAATATGTTTTCAAACTTCCATATTTCTTTAGATTCAAGATAGCCACCCCCATATAGTCATTTTATTATCAACTGTACACTGACTTACTGTGGATCAATACATCATTCTAATAAATTACGTCCTCTACAGACGAATTGATTATGTGACGTAAATGAGTGACACAAAGGCCACACAAAGCGTCATTATTGTTTTGATTTGTAGTCTATATTACAAATGACTATTGACTACACAACCAAACACACTTGTTGACTTGAACGACATTGTTTTCACCTACATACAGGGTGTTAGCCAGCTGACAGTCTACCCACCAACTGGACTGGCAACTTTTTCCCATTTTCCGCTTTTTCGTATTGTTCTTTGATAATTATATTTCCAAAATATATCCAAAACCATCTATATTTTTCATGAAGTTGAATTGTCTTGGACTGGCAGTTGCAAATTCCTGGCTAATAGCCTGCCCACATATGGTTTTTGACATCACAGTAGCATTTCATCACTAGATGTTGCAATTTATAAGAATGATGTATCACAAAGATGAGACATCTAGCAAATCAAAAGATCTCTACATTTAGTTCATTCATGTACCAAATTAAATTTGCAGAATTTAAGAATAATTTGATTTAGAATTTCTGTAGGCTGCTAAGCCAGAAACTTAGTTTTTCTTTCAGTGTGAATTCTGGTGAAACCCAGCCTGTGCTTGAATTGCACATGCTTTGTTCATTAACCCTAACCCTACACAAATCAAACATGCTGTGTAACTCTATATTCCTTCACCATACCTAATCACCAACAGAATACTGCTGATGAAGACTCGTACTATTTTCTTCTCGAATTAAACTTCCAAGTTTGTTTGTTTTTTAAATAACTCCTCATTCCCAAAATCGTGCGACTTGAAACCTTAAACAAAGTTGTCCACTGTACTGTATTAGATCGAATAGCCCCGAAAACCACTGACGCCTACACAAGACGTATTCCGTTTTATTCAGCATAAATTGACGATTTTCAAATGATGAGTCTAACTGGATTGAGTAATTATGTTTATACGTTATTCTTCTTTAAAAAAAAAACTGGGCGAAGCACTTCTTTTCGTTAACAATTCCTCCAGCCGACGTTCAAAAATCTTTGTGTAAGGGACATCGATACAAAATGAATGAACTGGTTAGACGTACTCGTGGTAAAGACACATACACTAAAATTATAGAAACTGTCAATATATATCAAAGTAAAGAAGCTAATTTATACTTACGGCGTACATCGATCGCTATATTCGTTGGCAATCGTTTCAATACCACCCGATCTTGCTACAGCAATGTAGCAGGACAGAGTCCCGAAATCAAACCCCACGACGGACATGTTTTTAATAAGCACTGCTCACACGTTGTACGGTGGAGTTCAAATAGAATTCGACGAACGAATAACGTTTCTTAGAGTGTACAATATTATCGAAAGTCAATAACCGCTGGTATTCAGCTGCCGAGCGTAGTGGCGTTTCCTGGGCATATATACTGGTGAACCTCCAGAACTTTCTTACCGGCGAAAATTCTAGATCACTCACATGTACCATGACGTCACCTTCGGAAACTGTCGGCTATTTCCGCTTCGATCAGAAGCACGCCACCAACCAATAAATCATCTTACAGACTCTTCATCAAACACGGTTTCGGAATTTGAAAGAAACGTAACGTAATGTTAGAAGAGACGCGATAAGATAAAGTCTCTAAAAACGAATCAGTTTGGTGGTTAATTTTGTCTAATATGCTGTTTAAAGATACACTAGCTGTAACGACCTAGTTTTTTGTATTGCAAACGTGTTCTACATGAATAGCAATTATTTCCGTTCTATTAGCTGAAACTAGTTCAATTATTTGGTACCGGGCCCTTCTGTATGCTTTATAAGCTCGCTAAAAGCACTGAATCAACATCATCAAGTGTTTAGTGTACGTACCCTAAGCTCCGTTTGTTAAACCATCATACGTCATTACTGATTGTTTGCGCGTGCGCAATTCCGAGTACTTCGTTGTGTCGTCACCGGAAGCGCTGTCCCAGCCGACAGGGGGGATTGGCACGAGAGGGCGCCGTCCGATCTGAATGGAACGTTTCGACGTCAGTCGTCCGTAGCCCATCGTCAAAGCAACAACGTCCCATTTACAAACAGATGAAATAATTTCAGCAATTTCTTTACAGAAAAATTCTCTACAAAACTTAGAAACATTTCATAGACAAATACAGGCTCCAAAATTATGTCTATTGCAAAACAATTC